TTCACAGGGACTTTGTTAGATCCAGAAGGTCTGTACGATGAAGAAGTGTGCACTCCGGATAACCTTCAAAAGTATGTACTGTTCTGTTTTTTCTGGGTGCCTGTATTTGAGAGCCAGTGTGACGTCATGGGTAGAGTTTCAGATCAGGCGCACTGTGTTCAAATCCCACCTCAGCACTGGTAGTACGGCTCCTTAAATATCTCACAAAGCTCAAAAACCCTCTTAGGTTCGCCACAAGGTAGACGTGACATGGCGACACAGAACAATAGCTGTAAGTCGAAACACCGTTAGACAAAATAGCCTTAAGTCAAAATAGCCGTAAGTCAAAATCATGATTACTGTGCACGCTGTCAGTATAAGAGCTCGAGTTTTAACTTCTCAAGTGCAGCAGTAACAAAATACTGCTTTGACTCACTGCTGCTGTCGTTTTATTCCTTTAATTGTTGCCTTTTAATTTTCTAGCCGTGCAGGGCTCCACAGTACCACATCAGCCCAAGCGGCTCTCTGTAGGAACCACTTATTGCAACGGCCTGAGATTGTTTTTATGTCCCTTCGAGTTATTTTGTAATTACTGTGCATTTTTACTGCAGTTCAGCACCATCTGGAGGAAAGGCAGGATACAAATTAAAAGGGGGAGGGAAACACCCATGTGGCTAAAATATATTTCCTGTGAAGAAAGTTTATAGCTTGAGAGTAAGAGAGAAAGAACATAAAATAAGCATCACGGGATGACTTTCAATGATCACTGCTCACTTTGAGGGTGAATTGTGGAGGGTGTGTGTTTGGGGGGGGTTTGTGGGGTTCCTAGGATCTTCTAACCAGTTGCTTCTGACCCATGGCAACCCTTTGCATCAATGGTCCTCAGAAAGTGCTGTCCGCCACAGTCCCGCTCATATCTTACAAACTGAAACCCATGGCTTCCTTTATTGACTGAATCCATCTCACATTGGGCCTTCCTCTTTTGCTCCTGCCTCCCGTTTTTCCCAACCTTATTGATTTTTCCAGTAGGTCTTGTCTTCCCAGGATATTCCCAATGTACAATAACCTAAGTGTAGTCATTTTTTTCAAGTTCAAGTTCTTGGAAACATTTGAAGGGAATCCAAATTAGCAAATGTTATAAAATGCTTTCTCCATCCTAGGTTTAAATAAACTCTGGGGAGTGCTGAGCAACCAATAACAGACCGGGATTGGGCAATACATTTGTCTAAAATATGCACATATTTGTCTAAATATACACGAGGGAACTGTGCAAGCATGCAACCTGGAAACTCTCAGATATTTTACCCCATAGTAGAGACTAGAGATGGGTGAGAACCACAAGTTTGGCAGTTCACACTAGTTTCCCCGAAAATAAGACAGGGTCTTATATTAATTTTTGCTTCAAAATGCATTGAGGCTTATTTTCAGGCTTATTTTTTGCATGTACAACCATCTACATTGATTCAAATACAGTCATATCATTTTCTGGTTGCTGCACAAGGGTGGAGGGTGGGGTTTCACTCAACTGGGGCTTATTTTTGGGGTAGGGCTTATATTATGAGCATCCTTAAAAAATCATACTTGGGCTTATTTTCAGGTTAGGTCTTATTTTTGGGGAAACAGGGTAGGATTGTACTGTGTTTTTAACTGCTGGAAAGATGTAGGCATATTCCAAAGCCCAGCAAGTAAACTCATAAATCACTGGGTTATATTGAAATCTATCATTAAGTTTTTAAAAAGTGTCTCAGATATTTCAAAGCCTAGTTTGTCTCCGTCATCCTGTTCAATTCGCCTTCAGTACCCAGGCACAACTGATACATTCTCTCGCCTCTTTTAAATTGGACCATCATTTTAAAAAAAACGAACTGAGCTACTCCCCAATACCTGCCTGAAATTGCTCCTGTCGTTGGCAAACTAGATTAGCCTTAAAATAGACCCGTGTGCGGAAATCATTCAATAATAAAATTTGACCAAGGTAAGAAAGCTAATTTATCACCCTGTTTGTATTGGCATCGATAGATCTGGAAAGAGCCTAGTAAATTACACTTCCATTAGACTTCCAGCACCAACCCCTGGAAATCTATTAATAAAGTTAAAGAGGCTACAGTATTAAATACATCAATGAGAGTGTCTACACGGACCCGTTTCCTTATTAAAGAGGTCAATAAATGCTGCGGCTACTTAGTTACAATGTGCCTCTCTTCCTGACTTGATTTATAGGGCACTGTTTGGACAAAGAGTGAAATGGAGGCCATTTAATTAAGATATTCACAAATCTAGGATGGATTAACTGCTGGTCTCTTTCATAGAACATCACACCATTGTACGAAGGAGTACCACTGCACCTCCGCGACTCAGATTTTATTGTCCTGTTTGGTGTCCGGGTGGCAGCATCCAAAAAATGTCCTTGGTATCTCTTGACCATTCTCCTTCAATCTGATACAAAAGAATTGACATTAAAAAAAATTAAAAGAGAAAGAAAATCCCAACGAAATTCTTCAACTCGAGCAAGGACAGCTGTGTTCACATAACAGGAATCCTAAAAACCCGAATTGCGTAGAAGCAGAATTAGAGCTTTCCACAAAGTTTCGTTCAGCTTCCACCGTCTCTTTTTCTTCATCTGAAAAAAATGTGGAACGGGTTTTTTTTTTTTATCACACCATTGTCCAGCTTTGGACCTTGGAAAATACGGATTGACGCTCCTTTTCTTCCTTTCTGGTCGTCCTTCCTTTTCTCGAAGATTAGCAGCAATGTTGGCAAGCCTTTCGATCCAAGGGCCGGGTCTGAATCTGAGTGTTTGACAACAAGTCCTCAGTTCCCCGTGACTGAGTCACACACCAAAAGTCATCTGAAAACAAGCAAGGAAAAATGGAAGTTTCTTGCTTGAGGAACTGAAGCGTGAAACGTGAGGACAGATCTCATCGGAGCCTGGGTTCTGAAGCTGCCAAAACATTGTGAACATCGTCGTCTTTCTGCCATCTATCCCAGCCAGTCTTGAGCACGAGAGAGTAATTTATCAGCTTTCTCCCTCCAACTATCTCGGTAGTTATCCTGGCAATTTTCAAGTTGAGTGCTGTCATATTATCAGGCACATTATTTTCCCGGTAGCGTCAGGGTGGGGTGGGTGGAGAGGAACATCTCCCCTGCGTTCCTTTTGTTTCTTTTTTTAAAAAAATATACCACACTGTTTCAGGACGTGCTGTCAAGGTGAATTGCCTTTTAAAATGTTCTGATAACATTGGTGGCTGCTAATAGCAAATAGGTGCCTCTAGTGATTTAATTGCTTTGGCTGAAAAACTACTGACAGCCTTTACTTGTCAGCGGTGCCTGGATGCAGCCGAGGGATCTTCGGTTTCTGAGGCCACCAGCTCGCTAACATATCCGACCAGCTTCTCAAACTTTCTTCCAGAGAACCTTGGTGGTTCCTCAGAAGCTGGTAGAGCAGATTCTCTGGAAGCTTCCAGAACCTTCTCCTGCTGCGAGTGGCATGAATTCAACCTCAAATGTTAATCTTCAGTCCACTCTAGATTTTGGAGAGGACTGGCTAACGTCCCACTGCAGAAGTACGTACATACAACCCGCTGAAGCCACCTTGAATCTAAAGCAATATAGGGGGGCTGGATTTCTTGACAGAGATATGGAAGGAGTTCCTGAAGGCAGACATTTTGAGAACCCCTGCTGATGTAAAGCTTGGGTGAGCAACGTGGAGGTTGCAGGAAGCATGTGGCCTCCAGACGGCAAAAGTATGAGTCACTTCTGGATTTGCAAAAAAAGGGTCTCCCTTGGTTTTAAATGCCCAAGAGAGCTCCATAATGACCAACGGCCTTTCTTCACATCCTCTAGGCCAGCTATTCTCAACGGGAGCCCTGGGTACCTGGGGGCCCTGGAGCATTTGAAGAGGGTCACGAGCGGAAACAATTTTTCACACACCATCTTATAATATTCGTTATGCAACTTATACAGTGATGCCTCGCAAGACAAATGCCTCACAGGACAAAAAAAATCGCAAGACATATGGTTTTAGCAATGGGGGTTGATGACTCGCAAGACCAATGTTCCTATGGCCGTGCTTCGCAAGACCAATGTTTTCTGTTTTTTGTTCCTGCTTCATGTTTGCTGATTTTTAAATGTTTTTCTATGATGTTAAAAAAGTTAAAGTTTTTTTGACTGAATTTTTTTAAATCATCTGCACAATATGTATGGCTTTAAATAGCACTTAATAAACCCTTTGTAAACCAAATTTGACTTTGTTCTGACCTGCCCATAGGAACACATTAATTAGACTTCAACGCTTTCCTGTGGGAAAATGCGTTTCGCAAGACAAATTTTTCACAAGACAACATTAACCGCGGAACGAATTAAATTCATCTTGCGAGGCACCACTAGATATACAACTAGATTTCTTTCATGTTGCGTTTATGGCCATAACCAAAAGAAAGATTGAGAATGGCTATTCTCAGTCACTGTCTGAGATATCTTGTAAAAAAAAAAAATTGGGAGCACAGGATAGATATCCAGATTCAAGAAGGGGTGCATGTAGCCCTGTATTTTGTAAAAAAAATAAATAAATTGGGAGCACAGGATAGAGATCCAGATTCAAGAAGGGGTGCATGTAGCCTCTGGACATCTGGACGTTGCCTCCTTCGTTGTCAAACAAGGGCTGGGTGGGGGACCGGTTGTACCCCTTCCCCACCCTGCCCTCAGCTGGCTGAGTGATGACTTTTCCCACCCAGTGGGAATCAGCTTTGCTTCCTCCTTTCCACTATCCTTCTGGGGAACTCTCCTCAGAAATCTCCACAAGATTCCAGGTGCCCTTGGAGGGTTGTATGTACTAGAGATGGAGAAGTGAGCACCTATTACCATCAACCGGAACTTCCAAACACTATCGGACAGCGCAGCCAACTTTGTTGCTCGGGCAAGATGAAAAAGGTTGCTTTCTTGAACAGCAGCTCCCAGAATTCCCCCAGGCAGCATGGCCACTGGGAGTTGCAGTCCAGAAAAGCAACTTTCTTTCTACCTTTCTTCCTCCTAACTCTTCCCCATGCAAGAGGAGCAAAGCCAGGAAACCAATCTCTGCTGTTTCCGATCAGGGATCGGTGATAACAATGGGGATTCTCTTTCTGCTAAGGCTTCCCCAAGTGGGACATTGGGAGGGGGCCAGCTTATCAAGTGATCTCCACAGGCTGCTTGGAGAAACTCTGAAGGCCAGGCATAAGTCCCGCTTCCCAGCTGCAGACATCTTTCGAGTGATTATAGCGTGGAAAATAAAATATAGCAAAACAGACCGAGCATGCCTCAGCACTTTCCTCGGCTTCTTATTTAATTTGCTGTTATAAAGTGGAGATAATCTGATATTTCGAAAGAGGTCAGTTCCATCATAGGAAAAGCTTTTTGTTGAATCAAAAAAAAAATGAACTTTTTCCCCCTCCTTCCCCTCCCCTCGCTCAAGCAAGCTGAAGAATGGCCTGTCAACGCGGCTGCTAATGATAATTAATTAGAAAATGGCCCCAGAATGCAACCATTCCGCCTAACGAAAACAAACCTCCCACTTCAAAATTTCAAATGCCAGCTTGGGGAGCATCGATCGCTTTTGATTCCTTGATACTGAAGATAATCAGAAGTGGCAAACGGGCAGCTCATCATTAAGGTCTTTAGGGATAAGACTTCGGAACATGTTAAAGCCGGATCTCACATTTTAAAGGCCTGCAAAAGCTGGGAAACAAGAATCAATGGCAGCAATTATTTTCCTGTGTTTCTAATTTTCCTGAAGTGGAGATGCAGATGTTCATGCTTTACGATTCCATTCTTCTTATGGAACCTCTCCCTCGGATCCCTCAATGTTGAAGGCACAATCTATGCCTCGGTCACAAAACCCAAGTGGCAATTCCTTCTTACAAAATACCATTCGAAATTGAACCTCATCCTTCATGGATTTTTTTTAATTGTTTAAATCCTGCAAACCTTTACACTCTTGCTTGGGAGTAAGCCACCTCCAGGACCAGGTGGGACTGGCTTTTAGAGAAGCCTACTGCAAGAGGCCTGGGACCGGGCAGAAGTACACGTGTTCGCATTAGCCACACATCCATTGTGTGAGAGCAGGAGGTTAGAGGACCCTTTCAGGATTGAACATCAGCGTGCATCACAGTTGAAGGTCTGCTGTGTGAACTGTCCCAAAGCCTTTTGCAGGCTGAGGCCAAAGAACAAGGCGGTGGTCTCATACTCTGCTCTACATATAGAAGATGCTTGGACACAGCCAGTTGAATTGCCGTACTAATGTTAATGGGATACATCACCACTAAACCTGAGGGTAGCAGGCCGGTTGAGAGTATTGAAGGGTTTTTAATTTCTGGTGAAATTCTCTTTTTGATACCTAGCAGAAATACAGAGTGTCCCTTTCCCTATCTTTAGTCTGTTAGAAGCAGTGTTGCCAGTTTGTTAATTTGCTGTTGATCTGTTTACAACTGTAAGTAAAGTTTTTTATTCTTTCTTCCACAAATGTCTCAGAGTGGATTATTAAGACTTTTAAGTGCCTGATAACGAGGAAGGGGTGGACTCTACAGAACTCGTAGCTATTCTCCTCTGTGGTTCTCTGCACTTCTACTGTGTAGCATAAGGAATTTTACTGGAAATTCTGAACTCTGCAACTTACCTTCCTAGTTGAAATGAAATCTTCGCAGTAACCATTGAGGCCACTACCTTTTCAGACAGGAAGTTGGGTCTATCTAAGCCAGGAGCGGATAATTTAGGTGTCTGTGAGGTCTGGGGGTGGCAGGTGAGAGAATTATGGGATTTGTTCTCCAAAATTCCAAAATGCACATCTCTAATAATGTTTCCAAGCTCTGTCTGGCAATTGCTAGCATAAAATAGAAATTTGGAAAGAGAGGACCCGTACTGTTTTTAGTAAAGCCCTCTTTCCTCCCCCCGTGTATATGTTCACTGTGATAGCAATAGTTCTTGTTGAAGTGTCTGGTGATATACCAGTGACACTGGTGGCTTCTGACCCAACATCTGTGTGTAATTTGTGAACCAGGACGATGGAAAGCGAAGAGGGACGGAAGCGTTACCTCGTCTTTCCCACCAGTAAGAGCCACGTCTCGAGCCAAAAGGGGAGGAAGGGGGCTCTGAAGGGCAACGGAAGACGGATTGACTATATGCTTTACACGGAAGAAGGCGTCTACCTGGAGTGGAAAGTGGTAAGTGGCCTCCGTGGGAGAATGGCTCAGACAAGGAGAAATGTTTCCACATTCAAAGGAAGGAGGTCCGGAATCCAGCAAGTAATGCTTCAGTGGCATCTGGTTCAGAATATTAAGTCACTCTGAGGTGATATTGTTCTGTTTGTAGAGGTAGCTCAAGCCCCAGATGTGTTCCCTTGGGGGGGCATTTCTTCACCGCTCGACATGGGTTCCTCTCCTCAGTGCCCCAAAATCAGCAAGTGCAGATGACTATCCAGGCCGTTTTTGTCACAAAGACCAGGGGTGGGGCTAATCTGTGGCATCAACTCCTCCAAGGAATCAGGCAGTCCTTGAAGGAAAAATAAGATTTATTTTGCAAAAACTTTCATGGTTTGCATCTATTGGAGGGTGGTGCAGTTCATGAAGGATTATGCTACAAACATGTTTTGCTCTCTTAGCTGGACTCTAAGGTTTTCAATATCCTTTTCTAAAAAAACTTTTTATTGCTCCCACAAAACCAAGTTAATTGGGATTTGCAAAATCTGAGGATACGCTTCGTTGAAGAATATCAGGGCAGGATCTCTAAATATCTTCTCTCTTGAGAAATGATAAAAATCCGATTATTCTGATTTGCAGATGAGGCATCCAGGTTTCGGCAATTTAAGAATGGGTCTTAAGTTAATTTTGTGCTCAGGGCTTCTGGAGGGCATACAAAGACGTAACATTTAGCAGGACTCAAACAAAAGTGACAGGATACAACCAATATCCACAACGTTGCTTGGCCTTCTGAGACACTTTTCTTTTGTCGTTCCTCTACAGGAAGTGGAAGAATTCAGTTTCATCACCCAGCTGGCAGGACTAACAGACCACCTGCCCGTCGCGATGCGTCTGATGGTTTCCACCGGAGACGAGGACCCTTAAAACGAAGACCGGCCGTTTCGAGGGTTTCAAAGGAGAAACTTCCAAACTTGTGACAGAGATGTGAGAAAACAAGCAGTGGAATTGTCCGGATGTAACCCCACCACCACCACCACCACAATGCCCAATTTGTGGACGCCTCAAGATGGACCGAGGTTCGCTCTGACCATCGGTAGCTGTGACTCCACCTCTTTTTCAGATTTCCCCTCCATTCGCATCCAGCCAGGAGGATGTTCAAAAGGGAAGCCGAGAACATGCGTGAAGGCAGGCATGGGGAGGCGGAGAAGTGGGGCAAAAACCCCCACCCCACCCCGGAAAGGGTCACAAGTTGTCCTGGCAACCAATACTGGCAGGCCTGTATTTCTATACTTTCACTGTGGACTGAAAGGGACCTAAGACAAACGTCTCGATTTCTCTGAAACAGTGCCATTCTTACTAAACAGTGTTTTTATACATATATACATATATACATATATATATCTATATATCTATATATATATACACACACACATACACACACAAACATATATATATACATATATGTGTGTGTTTGTTTGTGTGTGTATATGTATATATATGTATATATATACTGATATATAGCACAATTTAGTTTGTAATCAGTCTCTGTGTTAGTGCTGTTCCCAAGCTTTTGCATCATTTCTTTATATGCCTTGAACGAGCTAATGCTTATTTTTCTCCTTTTAATTATTCCCTTCTTTTTCTTTCCTCTTTTTTTTTTTAAAAAATAGCCTGTTAATGTAGTCGCATGCCTGCATCGGAAGCACGTTGGCAGCATTGCATGGCACTTACTTTGAAAATGGGGCGGTCGTGGCGCGAGGAGCAGGGTGGGGGATCGGGTTGGTCGAAGGAACGCAGGGAGAGTTCACGAGCAAAAGGAACACAAGTTTCTCGTTCACTAGCAAATGTTGGAAAGGATGAAGATCGCTTTCTGTACGGGCTGCAGTTGAACTCCTAGAGTAGAGGTAAACTCTGCCTTGTTCTTCAAGAAGTGCTAGGAGAAATGTTAGTGGTGTTGATGTCGTTTAGGAAGACATAGGTGAGGAATTTGGTCCAGTTTTCATCTGGGCACCAAAGGAGCTTCTTGGGGTGCTGAAAATCTTTGGGGGTGAGTCTTCGGTGCTTCAGAGAGCTGCCGTTAAATATGGGGCAGGTTTGCTGCCCCATCACGTCAGAGTCTGTAAAAAAAAGAGACTAAGTTATAGACATGAGTCAAAGGGTAATAGTTTTCTTGGACTTTGCTTCCTCCGTTTTCAGTGAGCAGGCTCGCCGCCCAAACAAAGCGGACAAATGCTGCGATCGGAAGGCCTCCTCCTCCAAACCAGCTCATGAACATCTTGGCACGGCCTCCAGAAAATCAGTATTTCAGTGGGATAGTTGGTGTGAATCTTTCTTCCTCAAATACTAGTTTTTTTTATATCTAGGAAACAAGGCAGGATAGAAACACGGAGCTGAAGAAATTCAACCATCAGCTTTAACCTGAAGCAGTGTATTGTCCAGGGAAAATATTTTTATCACTGGATTCTGATGTACAATAGGACCCTCTTATCTGCAGGATAGTATCTGCCATGCCACTTATCTGAAAACATTAATTAAAAACAAAACCCTAGAAATACATATTTTCACAATGTCATTACTAGATATGGCCACTAGAGGAAGCCAGAGACCTTATTATGTATAGACACATGATTATCTGTGGTTTTTGACATCTGCAGGCAGGCTTAGGGGTGATCCCTACGGATACGAGGGTTCTGCTGTAAATAACCTGGTCCAGTGACTTAAGAGTGAAGTTGTCCGCTTGAGTTGCTAATTCCGTCTGGCTGAATCTCACCGTTTGGGCAACCATCTGGAGGAAGCATAACTTGGAACAGAAGTTACTTGACAAGTTACTTTCTAAAAGTAATTTGTTCCTGTTACTGATTTTTTTTTTTTTAAAAAAAGCTGATTGACGTTGTTACAGTGTTGGAGAAGTAATCCATGGCATTCCTTGTTGAATGGCTGATTGTTTTTTGTTT